GATGAAAGTGCAGGACTCAATTCTTGACTCTCCTAGACAATACGTGTAATTCTGTATTCTATCATTGCTGAGGTGGGAAAGGATTTCTCTGCTGTCCCAAATGTTCTGCTTAACATTTTGCTGCCTCTCAAAAGTACTATGACAAATTCAGAAAGATTTGAAGGTGCAGCAGAACTGTAATATGTAAACAGACTGAAGAATATACATTGCCTTTAGTCAAGCACAAACCATCACATTATTTCAGAAGAGAGAAATATTAAAAACCAAAAAAGTTAAATCTGCTGCTTGCTTCTCTGTAGTTTAATTAGTGAGGAAAGGCAGTAAGGCATCACTGAATTTCCATTTTAGTTTTACTGTTCCCCACAGTCAGTGTTTTATGGCTATGTTTTTATTTCTTCGTTCCAGGGACACATACAAACCATTCAAACTCTGTTCTGTTGTCTTCTATCATAAGAAATCTTGGACACAAATAAAAACCTTATAATGGACCACTATTATTCCTCTACTCCCCTTTTCTTTTATAAACGACAAACACGTACTCAAGTAACGATATACAGACACCTAGTTTCCTTACAGATAATTCTGCAATCCAAGGGGACTTCTGTAAGAAGCAACGAAGATATGTAAGATCAGTACTCAGGAGACTTGAAACATGGAAGAACCCTGCACACAATGCTATGTAGGGGCAACACTAAGAATTCACGTAACAGTACGCTCTGTTGCTAGAGTCTCCTTTTTAAAAGAAAAATACACTAACTCTCAAATGCAATCTTTTGTTACATAAAACTCACACAACCTCTCATTTATTTTTTTTTCCTCCAAAAGATCAATTATTTCTTCTAAAATATTCCAAGGGGTTTTTTTTCTTCCACTTCAGAAGAGGGTGACCCTAAGATATGATAACTAAGAGAAGGAAACTGACCAACAGCATTTCCCTTAGAGGTTTATCCAGTGTCACTGGATAAACAAATCATGGTTTGGAGAAAAAAGAACAGCTTTGAATGCTTTTTAAGGCCCAAACACTTGGTGTTGCCAGTATCAGTCTTATTATGGAATTACAAACACTTATGACTGAGAAAACATTGCTAAAAAACCTGTAGCTCTGAGTCTTTCTGAAAGAGGGGGTATACATTTCTAAAACAAAACTTAACTAAAATGCTAAGCACATCACAGGAGTCAGATCTGCAAATGAAAATACAAATGTTAGACTCAAAGCTCAATAAAAGAAGAAAACCTCCTCTATCATTAGTCCTTAGCTTTACCACAAAAGAACTGAATCATTACAGTGCCAGAAGCTGTGCTAAGCTGCAATAAATACACACCTCTGTCAGAGAATTCCATGTGAAGATTTTAGCAATCATAAGCAACCTCAGATCAATGAACTAGAACAAGAAACCCACTACATTAAAAAAAATAAATAAATCAGTTTTTCATCAGCTTTAAACTGCATTTTGACTTTTATAATCTGCTTCCATTTGTTAAGCAAAGGGTGGAACATACTGCATACTCAGCTTGCATGACAGAAATCTGCAATGGAAAAGCTATCTGGATGTTAAATAGCTAAAATAATCTTTTTTTGACACTGTTTGATAGGTCTCCATGTGCCAATTAGTCTTTACAAAATTCTAGTTCTGTTGGAAACATGGTTTGATATTACTTATACTTTATATTATTAAAATTTTTGAGCATTCACTTCCCTATTTTTTTCTCCTTTTTGTTGAAATTCAGAAACTGGTGAGAATATGTCAAACTCATGTAACTGTTCTGTATTCCCACAAAGAAAGATTCTAAGTAAAATTATCCCCACTCTGCTCTTATACTGATGAAATGGGCGTTAACAGAAAGATAACCAAAATCCAGAGAATATAACCCACACGGCTCACAGAAAACACTGTGTAAGGTTAGCACAGTCTTTCCAGACTTCTCTGATTAACTGGAATTTGAATTTTGCTCCAATTTTTCTCCTCACTACAGCTATGATTTGGCACAGGAAAGACCAAAATCCTAACAGCAGGCTTTATCCTTACAGTAATCAAGCACATTGTATTTCTCTCATGTGTCTGAAATTCACTACTAGGTATTAACACTTCTATTATACCACAACTGTGCCTTTCAGTTAAGAGACCTCAAATATCCAGGTATTATTTTCTTTGGCAATTTCTTAGTAATGTTTTTAGAAATGTAAATAAACCTGTCACAGATTATAAAACTATCTATCATCAAGGCCATGGGGTGCAACGCACTGGACTAGGGATAACAGATGCTACTGGGATCCTCTGCCTGTGTGTCTCGTGGCTGTACAATGAACTTCCCATATTCTTACTGTGAGGTCCAGAAAGCTTCCCACAAGAGCTGCAAAGGTAAAAACAGGCTTCGAGGATTCTGTGGACAGAAGTGAACAACTGAACCCCAGACCACAAGAGAAAGCATCTATTTTCAGCTGTGTGTGTCACAGGAAAGCTTCCCAAAGATTATATAAAGAAAAAATAAGAGAAGAAACAAACAAACAAACAAAAAAACAACAGTATTTGGAAAAACAGATAAGCAAGCAAAGGACTGAAAACTTACTAACACCACATACATATTCTGCTGCATGGGTAAAGTAATACAGGACAATCAGATATCCCAGACTGACCAGGACAAGCACAAAATAGAAACCTTTTCCCAGAATCTCCAAGAATTTTACTAGATCATTATTTTGTTGCAAGCTTTACAAATGGGATGTAAGAATTTCCCTCTCCCCCTTCCTCATAAACTGCAACCCTGGAAAAACTGGCAGATAGCCATAAAAGTCTCACATAAATCCTGGAATGTTACTTGCATCAATTTTTTCCTTTCAAAACTGGTTTAATTTCACCCTACCATGCAAACACCCCCATGCATCAGAAAAAAGAGGACAAGCCAAACTGGGCTCTTCAGTGTCAGGTAGGCAAAAGTCATGGTTTCAAGTTCCTGTAGTGTTCAGTTGTCCAAAATTAGAGTGGATACATAAACTATCATTACAAGAGTTCTGGAAAGTGGTGAGTACCAGAAATAAGTTTGTAGTTGTCTTATTGTTTTATACTCTTCATTCATTTCCATTCTCCATGGAACTCCTGGGTTCCACGATTCCCACAAGTCACAGAGCTAACATTTAATATTTCAACACTGGAAATTGTTTATGGTTTCTTAACTCCAAGAATTGTGCAACAAACTAAGCAAGCCAGTAACCATAGCAACTGTGGTAGAGAAAAAACAAGTCACAGCTATGAAACTGCAGTGTATTTTTAATTCTTGCAAATGCTCTTCTTTCATATTCTACATGTGAAAAATTAAACGTGTACAGTAACTAAGGTGTACATGTATTATGTACTAAAAGACACTTCTTACTACTGTGCCATATTAAGTACTCCACTTCTCTCTTCTCTCCCATTTCCTCTCCCCCTTTATCAGAGTACTACACTTTCTTCTGTTTGCTTACGAAAACCTGGATAAAAAATTAGAACGTTGCTTCGGTGAAGGAGAAAAATGCACTCTGTCTAGCTATTTTTATGCAAGTAGATTCTAAGTGTCAGTTGTATTTGCTGCCCTATTAACAAATAGCTTTTGCAGCAAACTGTCCTTGAACTGGCTATGAAGCACTCAGACTTTGTTGATTTTAGGAACTTTGTTAGGAAGGTATTAAGTAACAAGCCTGTGAACACATTTGATTATATAAACTACAGCGTGCATTACTATGTAATGCAGTTACAGTAGTAAAGGAAGCAGGACTGAACCACTGATTGGAACTGAAATAATTTTAGGTACCCACATCCCATGAGAGGTGTGGATCTATATACCCAAGGAGAGTATTAGACTAAGCCCTGTACAATCCTACACTGACGCTTTGCTTCTAACTACTGTTTCTTAGTGATGGTAAGATGGTGTTAACAAATACAAAATAGAAACATCAAAAAGTTTTCCATTCAAATACCTATTTCATCTCAATTTTGATATTTTATGGTAATTTTTATGATAATAAAAATTTATAATAAAATTTTCATGAAAAAAAATCTCAAAACCGTATGAAAATTTAAAATTCATCCATTTGGATTATTTGAGGACTTTAACAGACAAATGATTTAAAGTAATTGGTATCTTTCATCAATACTGCGAATATGTCTTAATGAAGAAGGCTACACTTCTTGTCCTCTCTTACAAAACAAGGCTTCTATGTATCTTTCTGTAAAAATCTTTTACATCCCAAAAATCTCGGAAAGCAGAGTGATGTACTTTTTCTTTTAATAGGAAGAACCTAAACTAACAAAAAAAACCTGTTCTCAAAGCTTTGGCAAACTATCATGAAGCTACACAGGCTTTGGGGGCTTCTTATTTTGTTTTGGGAAGTTTTTTGGTTAAACTAATAATCTAATAGATAAGGATATGTGCCCACATGTTTCCAGTACTTCCCTAACACTCAGATGAGTAAATTTTAATTCAATCAAATAATGCACCAATTGAACAGAATGCAAAAATGTACAGATCACATCTCCAGTCCTTTAAGTACGAGACATCCATGGAATGAAAAAATACAGAGCCTAGATAGAGCCAGTTTTTCTGTTGACTCTGGCACAGAAAAGCATCCTCTTGATTTGGATAACAAAAGTGACGACCACATGGTCCCGCTGGAGGCATCTGGTTGGAGATGCACTAGGACAGAAACAAAGCTGTGCAGAACTATCAGCACATGGTAACTGCCACAAACAGCAGGATTTCTGCTTTGGACTAGCGGGAGGTGGCCACATCTCTGCAGCTCACAGCACTTCCTCTAGAAATGTCTGCTTTGGCAATTCCATTTATCAAATGTATTTTTATACTTGATGCTTATTTAGTACTGTATTAATAACAACATTGTTTTAATGCATTCTTTTTAATTAAATCCGTGAAGTACTTTAACCAAAACAACATGGATGTAACATTTTTAGTAAGTGAAGAAATAAAATACTGCAATAAATAGAAATTTGGACACAAAACCAACATGCCAATTTATTTTTTATTCTCTTTGTACTACCAGAGTCTAGTTTGAACAATTCTTCCTCAAAAACATGCAGATTTCACTGGACAGTACAAGTATTTGCTACAGTAACATTCAGGTGCATTACTCAGATGACATAAAAATCTTCAAACACTGAACTTCAGAAATGAAGAAGCTGGCATACAGCTCTGATGAGATTCCAAAAAGTATGCATTATTTTTAAAATGGCAAACTGCTTATTTTTCTTTCCATAACCAAATGTTAAAACACCGTACCAAGGAAAGATCACACACGGCAACAGATACTCCGTAAGTTCAGATATCACGCTCATACTTTATAATTTTTTACACTATTTTAATGTAGATCAGATGGTTGCATCTATTTAGACCAGTGACTGTAAAATTATGTACCTATAATAAATAATGGATCCACTAAATCAATGATAAGGTGTTACCTTATAAATAACTGCCAATCCTAATGACACATCAAGACAATGCTCCTTACAGACCTTATCACCACTCTACCCAGGGTTCACAAAGTCAACAGGAATTACTGAACATACAGAGAGTAAAAGTGTACGTATAGCTAAACAGGTACCTTAACACTCAAATTTCAACATATGCAATATATGTTGCACACATCAATCCACTAATTAAGGCAAAGTTTGGTAAGGGTGTCACAGGTTGTGATATTTAATGTTCTGGCACCTCTTACATCAAATGGCAAAGATGCACAGTCTTAATTTTACTTGCAAGTATGCAGACTTAACGGGAAAGTTTAGAAGGGATAAGTGATACATATCCCAACAGAAAAGGAAAATCACATCATAATTTTAATAACTAAGCCATACTTACTTCTGTAACACCTGCCCTTGACCAAACCTTTGCACAGTGCCTTAACGAAGAACTGGTTTTCCATACTGGCAAGTACTGCTTTTATATGTGGGGCAGGTCTGAAGTAATTTACTTCTTGTAAAAATTACTTCTTCTCTCCAAGAAAATGACTGAAAATAATCTAGACCTTCTATTACAATATTGAAAGCTTAAACTACAGAGCTTAATGTAACCACACACTGACAAAGAATTCCAAACAAGCTACAGCTCACGGGCGTACTTTTTACAGGATACTCTCCCTTTCTTCTCCAAAACCAGCCCCTTCTGAGGCTGTAACAGTGTGGAGCTCTGATGAATCTTTTGAAAGCCTGGTGTAACTTGAACGCTGGCTCCGCTTGTGAGCAACGCTCTTCAGGTTCTCATTCTGAACCGCAGTTGAATTGGAACCTGAGCCAGGGTGCAGGATAATTTGAGGGGAATCTCTGATACCTTGTATTTCTTCAAAATTTTTATTAGCTTGATTGTTTGGAGCACTGTTATTATTTAAGGTTACTGTACTAGGGGTTCTGTTTAAATTATAGACTTTCTGGCAAGCTGGCCAGTTCTCTTCTGGGCTACTTGCTATGAAGCTGCTTTCAGAAGGGCTTTTCTTATCTTCTGAGCAAATGGACATGCGAACCACAGCTGGATCTTGAAGGCCACTAAGGCTGTGTGGAATTCCTCTCTTTCCACTGTGACTGTCATCTTCAAGCTCAATGAGATTTGCCTTTTCAAGCTGTGAATCATCTGCTCCTTCATTATGGAGGGAATGATTCGGAGAACTTTCATTGGATCTTACACCAGAGTCAGATGAATCCTTTTTATCCAAAAGGGCATCTGTCAAATACTCCTTTGCTTTGATGAAGGTTCTGATAGGTTCAGATCCATGTTCTGGAGATTTGGGCTGCTTCTCTATTTTGACATCTGTTTTCTTATCTTTACCTTCCTTAAGAAGTGGAGTATTATCTGATTCCTCAGTTCCTGACTCATCTTCATCACTTGGAAGTTTCTGATACCGGAGAGTAACTCCCTTAAGCTTTAAATCTGCAGCCTGGAAAATACTTGTTCTTTCCGAAGACTTCTTTCCTGGTAGAAGCTTAGAACCAGACTGATCAGACTTTTCATCTTCTTCAGTAATAGGATCCAAAGGAGATGCATCGTTAGTAGAAACACCTGAAGTACTGTAATCAACATCATTTCTCTTCAGCAAGAAGGACTTTCTTCCATCATCTTGTTTCTGTTCACCATCTTTTCCTTTTTCCTGTTCTGCACTGGAATGCAAGGAACCCCCTGAGGTACTCTGCCCCATATAGAAAGCATTTGAGCTATGAGGGGAGGACCTACCACTGACTGTCGTAGAATTGGCACCTCCTTCTAACTGTGACATTTGAGCAATGTACTCTCTATATGCATCTCTGTATTCTGCCTGTACCTTGTCAGTAAGCTTTGATATTTCAATACTAGAATCTTGAGAATTAAGACTTGAAAGACTTGGAGTTCTGCGAGTTTGTGACTGGAAAAAAAAAAAAAAAGAAAGAAAGAAAAAAGAGAGAACAGTTAAATGAACTATTTATTTTTACTTTAACTGATCTTTTTAAATTAAATAACTCAAAGTACCAAGTATATGCTTAAATTATTTTCTTTGCTGCCATGAATAGATTATGCAAGTGAAACTGTCAATGCTATAATTGAAATATGCTTACTGTAATCATATATATGCAATCACACACACATTCACTAAACTTAGAGTATTCTTATTGTTTGTCCCCATAATGGAAGATTTACACAAAACAAGCATTTTGTCCAGTGCATTTGAGGCTAACTTTTGAGTATATAATTATAACAACTGAATTTTTATGTCAAGATAGGCTTTTCAAATACATTTTGGTGTATTTAGAAAATTAGCATTTTATATTAGAAAGACAGCAAGAGTCTATCGAAATGCTGAACATCTCTCAAAAACCATTTTTAAAGGACCCACATCCTACATCCTTCAATATATCCTAGTGAAATTCCATTGCATAGGGCTGACTTCAGAAAAATCAGTTCTCGGACAAACATATTGCTCTTTGTCCCCACATCTGCTCTCTTTTACTGTGCACACAGAGAACTCCATAGGCATAGGATGCTATTAAATGCTGGAACCAAGGTCTAGCATAGAGCTCTACAAAGTAAAGGAGTGGACTGTGGCTAAACATAGGCTTTGTGTCATGCACATAACGGGCTGCTCACTACCACCAAGTAGAAGATGTACGGTGCCCAGTGTATTGGAGCTGAGGCATTGGCTTAAGCACTAAGTACTTTATGAAATCTACTCAACTCTGCAGTGCACAAGAGCTCAGATCTGGAAAGATTGTTGAAGTATTGTGCCTTATTTGGGGCAACACTGAAAATGAACCACATTTCAAAAACCTACCTTCTACTAGAAAACAGTATTAAAAATACTAAAAGTGCTTGGGTAATTTTAGCAAGCTAAATGTAAACAGGAAAATTAATGTGTGGGTTCAAACACTGTGAATGAATTTAAGATTTAGAACAGAACTGATTAATCACCTAGCTATAACCTCTTGGTCCATCCTTCTCTTTCTCACCCTCTGTTTTTCTTTTCTCCCTCCCTCATTCTTTTTCCTGCTCTTATATGCATCCTTCTTATCTTTCTTGTTTCTGTTCATCATCTTTTCCTTTTTCTTGTTCTGCACTGGAATACAGTGCAAACCAACATGTTTCTTTCCTTCTCAGAAGATGCTCATAATCCCCCCAGCAAGCAGCATACATGATATCTGCAGGTCACCATTCCATTATTCCCTTTATATTACTAAACAAGTACTACTGACAGCTTTTCTTAAGATCAATAATGTTGTATATACACTAGAATACTGGGGAACAGCTAAACATGATTAACTAAAGGAAAATCATGTTTAAATTACTTCTATCTGCCATGATTCCTAAGCAATTCAATGCCCAAAACAAAATGCAAGAATCTCAGTAATATTAACAATTAATTATTCATGTATACTCCCTCCTATTTATCCATACTCACAGCAGCTATCGTTCCTCACCAAAAAGAGAAATCTTTGATTTTGTTGTGCATTTCCAGTAGTATCTCCTTTTTACCGAGAAGCACCAATATTCTTTTTTAATCAGTATCGAATTTAAAAATTTCAACAGATGAATTCTTATGTTTTCTTAAGGACAAACTACCTTTCTTATTTTTTTTATTCAGCTTCAGATAACTTCAGTTATCAGAAGCACTATTTATTTAAACTTGCGTTTTAAAGAGTGTTTTTAAAAATATTTTCTTGTACTTCTTTCTGTGCTTTTGACACAAAACCAACGTAACAAAGTGAGTCATGTCACTTTGGTTTGAAAAAAACATACACTGATACTCCATTGCTGGAAACAGGCAGTAAGGGTAATCAGGACCCTACAAACATCCACTAGCGCACATGCACACGCACAGAGGTGTCTAGGATAGAAATCTATCTCTGAAATATATATCCCAAGCCTCTTTTAAGTGAGAATTTTGAATATTAAAAATATCACCTATAGCTAGTAATTTGGGGTGTCTTCCTATTTTGATGCACTCTCAAGATTTTCTAATTTAGACTTCTAGAAATGAAAAAGCTGCGCTTTTTTAATTCTAATCACTATTTAGATACCAATTGGTTTGTCTTATTTCTTAAAAATGACAAAAGAAAATCACACACTTCAGGTGATTTTCTAAGATACAGCAGAAAACTGACCATAACCTATGTCAGAAACCATAGTCAGAGAAGGATATAATCTCTGGAGTTTGTGAATAGATTACGCATTGTCAGGACAAGGCTCTGATGCAACACAGCACTATAGCTGTCTGTTTAAAAAAACCTAATAAATGTATTTGTAGTCCTTTGACTAGCATAACATCTGTCTAGCACACAGCTAAAATACTTCTACACAAAGTCTTAATACTATGATAAACAGAAATTTTGCAGGATGCTGCCTTAAGCTAGATGAGAAAAGCATGATAGCTTGCGTTTTTTTCTCTTGAAGAGCCATTACTGGAACAGATTAATAGCTTTCGGATGGCAAAGACTGAAGACACTGACTCAGAGAATGTGGTTAGAGTTTTCATCCCTGCAAAACTAGTCTTTGCCAAGACTGAGAACTGAAAGTACCTGAACTGTCAAACTGGTATTATTTCTTGACCTGTCTGTATTCAAGAATGGAAAAAATCCTTTACAGGTAAGCAAGCAGAATCCATTTCTCTATTAAATACCTGCCAGCTTAAGTTACTATGGCGTGGAGGAGCTTCATCGAGACCAATCGTGTTGAGTTCTTCAAAGCTGAAGTTAAGAGTGTAGGGAGCTTGACCAGAAAGACCTGTAAGCTCAGTGTGAGGCAACTCAGTGTTATGCCCAGGACGACGAGTAAGTTCACTATGAGGAATCGCAGTGGTAACATGCTCAGCTGTTCCACGAGGATCTTCCTGAACAGCCTGATTTTCTGAATTTCTCATTTCAAGTATCTTAACACACAAAAAGAGACAGTATAAATGTAATTATATAAATAGAAGTAGTTCTCAAAATTGTTAAAGAAGAATTCTATTAAAAATATGAACAAGGAATTCACAGTTGTAGAAGTGTACTTGCATATGTGGTTGTGATCATGGAAAAGTATGAAGAAAAATCTGTTCACAGATCTAGTACATTCATTGTCTTTACTGCAAATCATGTTTTAATATTTAAGAATTTTTTGTATTTACAAATTATTCTTATTACTGCTCAAACCCTTAAAAGAACTCACATGCCACAAAACACTTAAATTCTTGTAAAACTAGGTAAGTGATAAATTACAAATTTAAAAGCAAGACCAAACATTCTGTTTTATAGCTTAATCCACCTGAATCTAACAAGCAATCTCATCTTGTAATTCTCAGTATATTCAAGAATGATTTATCAGTTAGAAGACATACTGTTATTTTCAGAAAGAAAACTGGCAATATACTAAGAACGCTTAAAACACAGTTTCTGTGATGCATAACCCTCACTGTAAAACTTACTCTCAAATCAGGAGGAGGGAAAAGGGGAAAAATCAGGTATCTATAAACATGTTTCAATAATAATATGCAATGCAGCATTCTCACATTATACAAGTATGTGTCAATTTAATATTGTACATTTATCTCACTGGCTTGATTTTTAGCTTAAGTTTCTTTAAAAATTATGCTTACGCAATTGTGTGCCATACATCTCTGACAGCCTGGCTGTCCGCTTCCTCATTTAAGGAATACACTTTGAACTCCCTGACTAACTTTTAACAGAAGGACAGAGGCTTCAAAGAGAATTAAGTTCTGACAATTTCATTAAAATAGGCAAATTTAAAAAGGGAAAAGGGAACACATACAGGAAAAACAGATCTCAAAAAGAGGAGGCAAAACTCCAGAGTTCACAACCAATTAAGATGCAAATCCATAGGCAACCATCTCTTCATTAAAGTGTGCAAGACAAAAAGACAAAGCAACAAAATAATAAATGCATGCACGTTTTAAGATGATACTTAATCATCTTAAAGATTATGATAACAAGAAAGCAACAGGAAAGAAAAAAAGATAAGACTTATAATGAAAAAGACTAATTTATGATAACCTGAATACTGAAAGTCTTACCATGCTCCTGAACAGATGCCAGTCACCAAAATTCATACTCATTTCTTTTTTCAGTTCATCAATGTTGCACTGAGCCAAGACACGGCCATTTATATTTGCCTAAAACAATAAAACTAAATAATGTAAATTACTGATACAAGACTTACAGTGTGGCTGTAACAGATTAAAAAGGCAATTAAAATTGGATATATTGATGGAGACTACTAGTGAAATTCCTCAACATCACTTTTAAGTCCAATCCTATATAACGAACATGTGTTTTTATAACATAGTATTTATTGATGATTGCCAAGAAGAACCTACATGTCATGAAAAAAAAAGAAAATATTAAACCCATTAAAAATGTGTATATGAAAAGTAACAGGATTTTGTTCTATAAACAGACATAAGGAAACAACACATCAGTGGTAGAAAATTTCACAGACAATAAACCACATTCATCTGCCTAGATATCTCAGACTCAGAATACAAACAGACTGCAGATGACCAAGTATCTGAAGATAATCATACAATTAAGTCCCAGGCATCATCTGACCCCTGGCTTGAGGCATCTAAGATCAAACACTAGCTCCATCAAGTTCCCTCCCTGCATAAATACAGGCTTACATTCCTCCCATCATCAGAAATACCCTGGGACAGAAGACCAGACTCCTTCCTAATTTTCATCATCACTCAGAGATCAACACAGAAGTGCCTGAACACCATCTATGTTCCAGGAAGGTGATTCCTTATGTTAGGTATGTTTATACAGTGCTCAACTTCCAGCAACACAAAATTCAATACAGAATGTAAAAGAGGAACCATGTCTTATGAGAGTAGCCACAAAATGGAAGACCCAACTTGAGAGCTCTGCTCCGTCTGAGATCTCAGCGCTTTTGTTTCCATATCCCAGCAGATGGTCTTAAACAAATCAGGAAAAAGACCAAGCTGAGCCACTTTCATTCTTCCTTTTTACATGATATCACTGGTAGTAAGAAATGCAAGAATATAAATAAGAAGAATCTCATTAGAGATAACTGATGAGCACATTCTTTTAGCACTCTAGAGCCACCAAAGCAACTGGAATTTTTTGCAGCTACACTTGATGAGCTGCAATCTGACATCCTACTTCTTGCTTTAAGCAACATCACTGAAGCTTCCTATAATAAACTTGTCTCTTAATCCTTGAATCACCATCCTCCCAATATTTTTTTACGATACAATAGGTACCAGGACAAAGCGAGCTCAGCAAAAACACTCACTAATGACAACTTTCATATTTTTCCCTTCTTTCTTTGTAAAAGGAGCGCACAGAATTGTGAAAACTAATAATGACAAAAATAATTCTGTGGTAATGTCTCAGAGAAAAGAGCAGTAACAGAAAAATGTACAGTGGCCTTTTTCTGAAGCAAACAGATGTGGAATGTGATAAGAGAAAAATGGAACCATTTTCACCACTCATTTACAACAGAAGAGACGTGCCTATTTCTCTGGGGAGGGGGGTAGAAATTGCTACCTGGATACAGGACACATTTGCAAACCTATTTATCTACACATGGCAATTTTGAAAACATTTTTCTTGTTTTGTTTCTCAAAATAACTGACCTCATCAGCATTTATATTTCTGAGTTTCTTTTCTCCTTTATGAGATAAAGCATTTTCACTGAAAAATATATGCTTGTATTAAAATGTCCTCCAAACTTCACACACGTAGAAGTTAAGATGTTGTTTTGATATCTGATATGTTTCAATAAACATTTTCAAGAAACGAGGCAACTAAATATTTGCTTTTCCTTGTGTATCTCCATGTTTAGGTACTAAACACATTAATGATATTCAACTGATACCTTTCTTATAGTTGCAGAGTACTGAGGTAGCATGCTCTGGTCCAGCCCGTCTATCTGCTTTAGCTTCTCACACACAGCTTCCACATTCATTGTGCTCAGAGACACATGTGATACTCCTGTGGTCGATCCTGTGCCTGCTCCTGCTCCCTGTAAGAAGTGAGACAATGTACACATAAGATTTGTTCAAACACTCAGTATATCCAGAATTTCACAATATACACTAACACAAATCAAGCTGTGTCCAACTACATTTTAAAATTAAGAGATGAGAATAAGAATGCACAGGCATTCTAAATTACTATAAGAATGTCTATATATTGGGAAAAATTTGTTACAGACATTTATAGGAGAAAACACACAGCATCTTGAGTCCTGCCTATGTGAGAAAATGATTCTCTTAAATAATGTTATTTAAGAAAAGTAACATAAAAATCAGAAATATTAAGTAAGGGTTAATCAATTTCAAATGCACCCTTACTCAGAGTTTCCCCTTGATTTTAGTAGTTAGTTTGGTTTTGGGTTTGGGTTTCTTTTTTTAAATAATGCAAACACAACTTAGATTTTCCTGTCTTAAAAGCTCCTTGTTTAGTATCAGACAGAGATGACCTAAAACATAACTCCTCAATTACTTGGATTTATCGGGTAATTTTAACAATATCTGTCCATTTTCCAGAGGTTCCTTCAACTCCATTCATGCAAAATCAGCCAAGGTGCTGTGTACCACAGTACAGAAACACAGAGCAGCCCTGCCACTGCCCTTCAAGATACTCTGAGGATGCTTCATCTTGAACTTTGGCAAGGTTTAGGTAGAAATCATTCACAGTTCAGATCTGTAACACAGAAACTGTCCTGTTAATGTTGCCAGCTTCTGGGAATTTCAAAGAAAGTGTGTGAAAAAAACCTCAAATGCCTCTGCAGGTAGGCACTATACTGAGACAGTACATTCTCAAAAACCCCCACATTGTCCCTGGATGGGGAGCTGTGCATTAAGTAGGAGCAGAGTGCAAAGCTCTAAACAGTTACGCTAGTGATTCCAAATTCCTAGAAGCAAAATCAGAACCACTTCTATCAGCTACAAAATACTTGTGTGCCCTCCTCCTGGGAGGGGGGATGCACCCCCACCTTTTTCTGGACATGAAGTTTTGGGTTCAGCACCAAACACAGCTCCTTTTGGAAGGATGCAAAAGAGCTTCTACAGCTTCAGAGCTCATCATCACATGTGTAAACCCTGGGATGTAGAAGTGCATTTTGACTACCCAGAGTTCAATTAAGCAAGTTGGACTATATTCCTCAAATCACCAATAAAGAATGATTTTATAGTCACAATACTTTTTTCCATTTTTATTTAATTACTCCAAAGTAATAATCACACAGAATGGCAGTAACCATATCTGAATTATCCAAATCATGATATTTAAGAAGAATTTATTCAACTATTAATTCAAAGGCAGCAATCCAAAAATCCATTATCTACTACCATTTAACCTCAGAGTTATTTCTAACTTACTGTCATTGGAGATATCCTGATGTGGGGAGGTAGGCACAGTCCCCACCTAAGCTACTCCGAGTTTCAAAGTTCAGATGCTATTACATGTAATTCCTCTGAAGTTCTCTGCCAGATGTGCTTGAAATGGACTTAAAAACTGGCAAATTATCAGCTTCACTCAAGAACTCTACAGGAGGACGTGGGGAATCTAAGCCTAGCAGTTTGCACACTTGCCTCAAAACAGAGCTGGGGCACCAAACTTTGTTCCTTTGACCATTTACCTTTTTTTAATGTTATGTCAACTGGACACTGAACAAACAAAATATATACTCCATTTTATGGGCAGGTAGTCTACTAAATTTTTGCATAAAAATTAAGCACTATAATTCCACTACAGTCTAAGCACCTAACTTAGGGCCTTGGTGTTCTTTCTGAGGACAAGACAGTTTTCAGATTCTGCAATGTCTCCCTAATTACGTGTCTACAATACCCAATTATTTATCATATTAAGCATCTAAAGGAGGAAATTCAGGTCTTAAACTAGTCTGATTTTTAGTACAGCTAAAATCTTTATCGTGTTAAGGATATAAGCCAAACATAGAACAGATGAAGATGATGGGAAGAAGCTTAATCCATAAACTACTTATCATATACTTCTTTTAGGTACATCTTTATTTTTCCTCTTTAAAAGATAACTTTGAGGTTTTCTTCAGAATACCAGTTTTGTCTATTATATCCCCATAAACACTACTATTGGTATGAGTTAGATAATAAATCAATAAAGAAAACGTATTAAGTTAACGAAAATCTTAATTATTTTTTGAAAGAAAGCTTATCAATTAAAATAAAAGAAACCTTTATAGCCAAAATTATATCACAGCACTAAAATAAATGATCCCTAAGCAATGTGTGTAAGCAATTGCCTTTGTTCTCTGAATCTATTAAATACGTTATCTGTCACATATCTACAATACATGAAGAAAAGTTCTAAACACTTCTAATTTAATAGTTCTCCTTCAGATCAAAATATTTTTTAACAACCAAGAACAAGTCATTCTTTCTGCATGCATTAAGAGTTAGCTGAGAAACTCTTCTTTCTGTGTATAAAAATAATATGGAAAAGCGTTAAAATATTTAGACTATTTTGTTAAAGTGTGAACTGTTTGAAATAGATGCACATTAATCCAAATCATTCTTTATAAAAAGCACTCTCCAAAGAATAAGCAATGTAATAGCTTTAGGGATATTGTCATCATGTAAGTGAATTAAAACTGTACTTAAACTGACACATTTTTCAGCCTTACTGGTTTTGTTAGAGATGCTTAGAGAACATTAGTCTTAAAAGTACTTGCCATGCAAAAGCTAAAAGCAGCTTGTCAAAACAAACCTCAAGGCTAGTAACGAGCATTAGTTTACAGACAGCCCAGCATGAAGCGCCACTATGATAGCTTCTGAAATGACTCCGAAAGCAGTGAGTGATAATTCACAGAAAGTGGCTGTACCTGTCTGTTTTTGCTTAACCCAGACTTACATGGCTTTCAGAAAAGGACAAAACAGAATGAAAAGAAACAACAGCTTAAAGTGACATCAGAAAGGCTGAACATACAGATGACATGCTTTGAAGTAAACAGAGGAAATCAATGTTAGGACAAAACCAGGGTATTTTCATAACGTGATGAAACTTTTAAGACAGACCTTCAGAATACACATTTAGTATATGCTATACAAATACTATTTTCCTGTGAGCAGACTACTCCATTTTGTACTTGTAAAAAAGCAACACTTGCTGTATTTCGTTTGCATAGAAGTTTTACATTATGTTTCTGATGGAAAATCCTGCTTTTAACCAAACATTCCCATTTCAAGATAATATTAGACCATTACATCACCAATGCATCACAAATAACTTTGAAACTGTATCTAAGCACACAGCTGACTGAAAAGGTACTTCTTTTAAAAACAAATATTCAAAGCTCAAAAATGCTACACAAAAGCATCTGGAAAAACCATATAAGAAAAGTCCCGTGCGACACACTTTCATTCATGCTCAAACTTCTGAAAAGCACTTCCAGTTTTTTAAGAGACTATTGTATGTTTATCTACACTGCATGCTCTGGGCCATGTTAGTTCTCATTCAAAGCACACATAGTACATCTTAAGGTATTATACATTCAATGCAGTATGAAAAATATATATAAACAAAGTAATTCTATTGCAACAAGCTGCATCCTAACAAGTCACAATTAACAACTGTTAATTAACAATGCAAACTAAATGACAGATAACCACAGCTAATGCTAGCTCGATTTCTAACGTAATGGGGGATACTATGAACAGATACAGGTAACACTACAATCCAGTGATAAACTCATCAGAAGAGCGCTCTAGAAGTATTTGCAGCTCCTGTCAGAAATAAACATTTGTAAAGTCAGCAGAAATCCATGTTTGCCTCCATCAGAGATGTGCAGAGGTTGACATCTTAAGTCAATTCTATTTTCATTAGAGATTTAAGCCGATACATTAAAATTTGCAATGCATCTTCATGTTGATACAACTACAGAGATGGTATTGGAACTACAGAGATGGTATTGGAACTACAGAGATGGTATTGGTAAACTTACTGCTCTGACATCTATGTTTTGGTCCATTCGGTAAAGAACAGCAAACTACAGTCTGAGACAGACAAGTTTTATCATCAGCATCAGAATTCAAATATAGAAGGTGGGAGAAGTAAAATTCTTGATACAGGATGACTGCTCTCAAAATATTTCTGATTTCCACTAAGCTAATCCAGACTTTCGCTGATTTTACAAGACTAGGATCTGAAATTTCAGAACTCTCTTAACTCCAACGTCAGACTGACAACAACAGCAGGGCCTTAACTAGATGACATAACATCCTCAACACAGCTCTGCCAATTCATGCAATGAGTAACAATGATGATCTGTGTAAAAAAAAATTGATACTCCCGAAGAAACTGGTTTTTGCCCTGTAAGACTTAGAACATTCAAAAGAATTATTATTCTCTATTTTACACAGAAGTAAAATGTTTCTTGCCAGATTTGTGTGAAAGACGATTTTGATTCTACAGGCTCCTCTTGTTTCTAGTCATCAAACCACATCTTGGTTTTCATTAACTACTTGGTACAGTTTTTTAGTTTACTTCATTATTTTGCATGCACCAACCAATTTAATAAATAAAAGCTGTATCATTTATATAGTGGCAATGACCCATCAATTAAGAGCTACCTAAATAGCTGGATGAAATTATTGTACCCATAACCTCTGGATAACTGCAGTACCTAAACCAAGTATAATACTGTTTCCTTTCAAATAAATTTCAATAAAGTCTACAAAAGAATAGATGAAACCCTGATGAGGTATCCTGTCAGGCACACAGTCTTTACAGAGAGGGTGCTCAAACACTGGAACAGGCTTCCTGGAGACGTGGTCAATGCCCCAAGCCTGTCAGTGTTTAAGAGGCATTTGGACAATGCCCTTAACAACATGCTTTAACTTTTGGTCAGCCCTGGATTGGTCAAGCAGTTGGACTAGATAACCACTGTAGGTCCCTTCCAACTGAAGTAGTCTATTCTATTCTAATACCAAACCCTGACTAAGAACATTCTCGCAAACTACCCAAGAGATTTTTAAAAATTCAAAATTTTAGATTTACACTGTAGGTTAAATATTGCTAAGTCTTAGAAAAGTGTATGATCTGATATGCTGTACTACACAGATTCACAGTCGTATAAATTAAAGTCAAAAACAGACCTAACAAAATCCTCCATTGTTGTTATTTCAAACAAAGTTTATTTTTAATGTTCTAACTCCTGTACTTTCTTACCTACAGCCAAGTGACTACATAACTTACGTGAGTCTCTTAAATTGCTGCTTGAAGCTGCAGTCTAGATGTGATTAAGATACACACTCAGAGCAGCAAGAAGAAGAGCAAACAGGCCCAGGTCTGCTGCTGGAGCTCATTCACTATTTTGTCCTGAGACTAAATCCCAATTTTTCAGTCCTGTGTCCCTTCTCACACTCACAGATACACACATACTTCAGCCATCACTCTACTACTTTCTCAGAAGTCTTCACTTTTTCTCCTTGCAAAGTACTGGGAAGAGAATGGGATACTGAGATAAGGAATCAAACACATCAGCATCTCCAAAAATACACTACCAGAAAAACTTATAGAATCATAGAATGGTTTGGGTTGGTTACTCTAAGTCATTCTTTCACACAAGGTAGCTACTGACTTGGAAGAGAGAACTTTAGGGTGCATTTTCCATTGCATTGCCCATACATGGGTGCTCAGTGAAGGTTATGTGAACTTAAATAAAGTTCTGGAATTTGTGTGGGGATTTTTTCTTTTCATTGCACAACAACGGAAAGACATTTTTGCAATGATTTACTAGAAGAAAAAACAACCAATATTAAACTATAACTACTGCCAACAACTATTGGCCGTGACTACTAAGAGAATGATGACAATCATATTAACCTCTTTGCTTTGGTAACAAATAATTATTTTCCATCAATTTCCACAGTTTGAGTTAAAGCAGATACTCATCGTGTGCATGTTTAGGATAAAACAACAACAAGTCATGGAAAAGGTAGATATTAGCATTCTGACTCAAGAATAAATGTATAACCAGCATTTTATTTATTTATTTATTAAACATCTGTCAAAAGTTGCTTTATACTGTGTTAACTGCAATAGCTCTATGTCATCAACTAAAGAAATATGGATCAGATGAGTAAGTTGACTAAAGCTGAAAAAAACACAGCTACTTCATTCTAAAATCTAAGCACCAAAAGACCAGCTGTCATTCTTCACTCTGTTTAGCTACCACAACACTATTTACTGAAAGCTCACCATAGCTACTGATAAAGGCAAGGGGAGCACTACAGGGGAAAAATATAATACATCTTATAAGTGAAATATTAGCTCTTAAATTCACTCACAAACTACATTAGTTTTCAACTACTCTATTTGCCCACCAAAGCCACTGATGCAGTGTTAGTGAACTGCAGTTATGATTAATGCAGACTCATTACTGCTGAAAAAGCAATGAGATGCTAAAATTTCCACACCACATGACTACTCATTTACCATTGAGGGGTCTGTGGGTGAAGGGAGCCCCTCATCAGCATCCTCCTTGATAACATCCTAACAACAACAAAATATTATAATTTGGGTAAAATGATCAAGGGCTCAACAAAAAATACGAAGTAAACAGTGAATGAGCATGATCTCGTAATAATACAAAATTCAACAGAAACACAATTGTTTTCCTTAAGTGATTAAAGATGTTATCAGTTTTAAACAGCTTTGCTCATTATATCAATAACCTAGAAATAAACTGATTGACAAGTGAGGCTTTTACTTTTTTAGCTTTCCTTAGTTCTGAATTCCGTTTGAACAGCCATCTGTCTGTAAAATAAATACTGTTAAATAGAAATTTTACTATTCTGTGGGAAGCTAGAAAGTCCACTCATTTTTCCTTTTCAATGTGTAAATAAGTTGAATTATATGTATTTACAAAACAAAGCTACAACTGATGCATACTTAAGATAAAATGTATTTTGTTTTACACTAAATATTTAAAATCATCCTTTTAAATTTTTACTTTGGCCTTCCAATTTCTAGTATTCTCTACAACATTAAATGATGTCATTTTATCTTATAAAATTTGAATATAAATTTAGAAGTAGCATTCTTTCTTAAAATATTACACTGTATCAATTTCTTTACTGTAGTATACTTGGCGTCTTCTTTAGAACGTTTTCCTGACAATACTGCAGGTCATACTCCTCTAATCTTGATACCTAGATGTTAGAATTGGTTTTCCTCTCTTAGTAATTTCTAAAGTTAAAACAAAATACATTTTACATTACATGTTAATAACACCTTAGTTAAACTATTTGTAATACAGAGCTTGTACATGTCCAATACCGAATCACCATTAATAACCTTAATTTTCATTACTCACTATATTTATTGTCTATGTTAGTATTTGAATTATCCTTCAAAATACTTACTAGGCCATTGTTCTGATCTCTGGACAAACTCGTTTTTAGTGGTGGACGTGAGATGAGATGAGAACTGCCAGGGTAATACCTTGGCATGTAAAGATATGGGGCAAAGAATGGCTATGGAAAAAAAAAATGTAACAAAAAAGGGACAAACAATTACACAAATCAAAATGTAATAATAAAATAAAACTCATTTCAACAAAACACATCTCCTAGTTCAGTAATAAAGTGAAAAACAGCAATTACTAATAACTTTCTTTACTTTTTGCATTGAACAGAATTCAGTCAAAGGCTCTGGAGTGAGTTCTTCAAAATCCCTCAGTGCCAATGGGTGCTCTGGCATGGTATTCTGAAGGAACAGGTTTTGGTAGCTAGACTCTAACATCTGTTCTGAGTACAGGAAAAGGATCATTTAAGGATAATTCTGATAATTTCACTCTCTTAGACCTGCTAATTAGACCTGCAAAATTAAGATGCTTAGTAAAATTTACAATGTTTCATAATACTGAAAACAACTGTACCAAAGGAAAAAAAATAGCATCACTAGAACTTCCCATATATGTGGTAACCAATCTGAAGGCTGTCACAAATACTAGATTTTATAAGTGTATAAACAGATCTTTACAGCAGACAACATTTGAGCTTTGTTTTGTTGGAAATACATCAATGCACGTTGTTCAATACAAATACGGTTTTAAAAGGCAATGTTAATTATCATAAAACAAATATCAGAAACATTTTTTAAAAATAGAAATATTTTTTTTCCCTATCCACAAACACCAGTTAACTCTAATAATGCTTTTTATAACCAAATTCCTTTTTATCTCTTTTTGCTAACAAATTCCAGGAAAATAAAAACACTATCCAAGTTTCCAAAAGTCTTATCAGCACATCAGTGTCAAGGGTCCAAATAAGAACTCAAGCTCTTAATAAAGTCACTACTAGAAGATTAGGAGATCTTAAAATTAAAAATATACTTCCCACAGAGGACATCATATGCACCAGTTAAGTGCATATGGAGTTTTAAAGTTTTCATGTTTTAAAATCAATTGTAAAAACATGTTCCCTGAAATGCACATGCTACCCACTGGCATCAAACAAAACCTCTCCAAGTGTGTACGCGCAAGCGTGCATTTAAGGGTTATGAACCTTACCACTGGCAATGCAGTTCTGAAGTACAAACTGCTTTTCCAATACTGTAAAATTTTGTTTTGACCTATCTGTGAGCTTGAATTAGGTTCTGAAATAAAGATTTTCATCTCCTTATCAGTTCTCTTTTAAGGCAACGTAATGGGAAGCAATAGAGCGTTTAGACTTTATGAAAGCAGAATTACAGTGCTCATTGCTTTCAATTAATTACTTAAGACCTTCAATTAAGTTCTTAAAAAAGACTTAAATCTTAAAATAACGGCTGTATTACAGATTTCTGATATTTCTATACAAAGCATTTAAAAAATTGTATTACTCAGCTATTTAACAAAATAGAACATACTATTTGGTTTGTGTTTCTGCACATGACAAGATTTTGAGTAGTCTACTGCACCAAATTCAGCATAACAGTAATTTTATGACTCAATGGCCAATATATGAGGGAGGAGTAAAATCTGTTGAAGTATTCCACTTTAGATTTGTCTAAAAGGACTAAAAACCCTCTGCATTCAGAAGCAGCTATAAACAAACTGAGAAATTAAAGTTGAATTCCTGAGTACATCAATTACTTAGATAGCATATGCTACAACTTTGAGTAATTTATGGAAAATACAAATGGTTCCATATTCTTAGGTGCTAGAGGTAATCTTTGCACACTCTTTCACACGATTACCACAAAAAGTTCATATGCTCTTCCAACAAACAAAGTGACATGATATGCATTGTAACTATTAGTCTAAATGTGGAAGTTTGTTTTGTTTTGTTTTAAATAGGTAGGAGAACCAACACCTAGTCTTTGCCTTACATTTTCTGGTTAATATAGGATGACTCAGAAAATTCAGTGATTTAAAACTATTTATAAGGTACAGATTCTATGGTATTTTCTGGAAATGAAACTCTCTTCAAAAAAAGTTCATGTTATTTCTAGAATAATTAAGTGCCTCAGTTTTCCACTAACATCTTAAACCACATGGAAAACCCCCAAGCATGAAATGCTTAATGATCATACCGCATTCAAGTCTCTAGCTCTCACTGTAAAGACTACCCTCTGAAACAGAGTAAGCACTTGTTTGTTGGTTGCGAGTCATCAAGCTACAAAGCAATGAAAAAGATTTGTCCAATAAGCCAATTATCCCACAATTCTTTCATAATTTCTAATTATGCCTTGAGCCCACTTTAGCTACTCCACTGCTTCCCAACCATGGGATTAATTCTCCGTTAGAGGCTTGAAATCTACAGACTCAGTCTTCATTTGAAGTACAGTAATACAGATACTGTGAAAGCATAAGATAAATATAATTTATATTTATATTAATATAAATATATGTGGGCATAAGCAGTGTAGAGCTGTTCTCCAAGTTTGCAGATAGCCTATAAAACATGTGGTGTTTATTATTTTTCCAAGCTATCAGAGAATTTGCTATTCTTTTGCAGAAAAGTCTTCATATACCAAAATCTCTAGTTCTCAGCCAGGAAATTCCAATTAGACTTGCCCACTGCCCTGACTTTCCCCATAAGAAATATAATCTCCACAATGATCCATGATAGCAGCAATTTTGAGAAGATTAACTTGAATCCAACTGGAATCTAATTCAAACAAACTTGAATCCAATGGCCAGGCCATTAGACAGTGGCAAAATGTGGACGTTCAGCCTGACAGCCAAAGCGTCTAGTTGAAGAGCTGCTAAATGGGACTATAATCTTTCCTTTACAGCTATGCAGAGGGAGAATGGGGTTTTAAACCAAAAATGGACAATTATGTCACTCACTGGAGGTTCAAGGTTCATAACAGAAGCATCTAAACAAAGCAGAAACATACATAATTTAAAAATTGTATTTCCTAAAAATAAAGAGGTTTTTTTTCCCCAACAGCTCAAAGGCTTTTTTTCTTAAGCAAAAATGAACGCTTGAAGACAACAGGACAGGAATCATTTACTGGTCTCATTAAGGCATCTATCTCCAGAACTTAGGGCGTTTCTGCATAAAATTCAGGCATTTCCACAGAAACATTTGAACGCATTGTGTTGTGTCATACAGGTATCCAAAACCTCTCTCAGAAACTTCTACTGGGGAGAGCCTATTCTTTAGTTGCTGTTCTTTTTTTAAATACCATTCTTACAAAAACTGAGAAGTGAAGTATGATTGAAAATACTGAAGGAAACAGCCTTTCTGTCTAAATTTTCTGCTATTATAAAGTTCTCTTCACTTACCTCAGTATGTGGTGCTCACAACAGTACCTTTATGACTCCAAAGTAATGAACATAGCTCTTTGTCAATAAGTGAAAGTGTGAAACACTGAAAACAATTATACCTTAGAAGGGCAGTATAAAACTCCAGAGAGAAAGGCCAAACCAGAAGTATTTTAAGTCTTCAGCAGGCAAAAAAGTAAGCATGTGTGTGCACTTAATACAAATGAACAAATAAACTGATTGTAAGAACCGCTTATGACTCAGCAATAATTGCTTTTGTAATGCTTATTACAGCCAAAAACCAGGAAAGTTTCAACTGTATATCATCCCATGCTCTAAACCTTGTCATGTACAGTAACACAGACACAAAAAAAAGGCTTTTAATTTAACACCTACTTCAACAAAGCTGAGCTAGTATCAGCATGAAGATTAATGTGACAAGCATTTAGTCTTGGACTACTTCAAAGTATATGTAATCTTAAGTTATTTTCAACAAAACAGTATATTGTCACTGTATTGAGGGTATATTAGAATAATTTTAGAACAGATAACTTAGAAAGTTCTGTGCTACATGTACTCTTTCCTGCCCTGGTTAACAAACACTGATTTAGAAATAACTCGATGTTCTTTCCAGCTTATTAGCTTAAACATTTACCTGCGGTCAAATCTACTTAAAGTTGAGGCCATTTCCTGTATATAGAAATAAGCTATGACTTAGATTAGCTTTCTACTTTTTTTCCTGATAGTACTACAGAAAAAAAAAAGTAAAAAAAAAATAATTTAAAAATACTGAATACATCCCACAAAAATAGAAAGTTTAGATTTGATCAGATGTACAGTAAAGTACTTCATTCAATTTTCAGGTGAGCCATGCCCAGGACTATGTTTTCTGAGGCCCACAAATAACTCAAAAATGTGTATTTTATACAATTTATATTCATTCTTTTAAATTAGTGCAACATCGATTTAGGGAAAAGATCCCAGAATAACTTTAAAAAGAGACAAAAGGGATGACAGACATACATTCTTGTGATGTAGCTCCCCACATGATTTTCCGTATGTTTTAACCAAAGTCACCAAGAAAAAGGTGGGATCTCTTCCAATGTCCGTGAGCAAGTATATGAATGTATATAAAAAGTAAAATAAACTGAGCAGTTTACTCCACAAAATAAAACAAAAAAATCTGCAATATCCTACAACTGAGTAGTGTCTCAAAATTATTTCACCTTTTTTCCCCTTGTGTAATTTGTTTTTCTTATGCCATTTACCACATTTTTCCCCCAGACTACAATGACTGAACATTACTGTAAAATTTACCGACTTTTTGACTTAATTCCTAAACTTTGCATGGTCTTTTAAAATTTTATAGATGACATCTATTACCAGATTAAATCAAAAGAACGTTAATTGGTTCTTGATTATTTACCCGATTGTAAAATGGATGCTGAGGTCCTGTCATACCACTATAGTAACTGCTATGAGGCTGTGGTGATAAAACTCCGCTATTGAAAGGTCCGTTGAAAGAGGTTGTAGAAGAGCAAGCTGATGAAGGCTGACTGAACAGAGATGTTGCTCTGGCAGGTGCCTCATGTAAAGGCAACGTGGGATAAGGAAGTCCTCCAATATTCATTTGATCTCTCGCAGCACGAACGTCTGAAAAATAAAAAGGTAAAAAAGAATAAGATTTTGCTTGAGAAAGTTTTGATTTGTTTGCCAACTCATTACAGTACATTTTTGTGTATTTAACTCCAATCAGAACTCATCAAGTAGAATTTCAAATGTTGCTTTCAGTTGTTTTCTCTTGAGGATCACATATACACAGGAGTCTTCAGAAGAGTTAGGACAATTTATTGCATAAATTTATGTAGCATATTAAATGCCTCTAAACATTCTCTCTCAGAGAGAACAAGTTAGAAATTCCAACCCAAATGGGAAGAAATGCAGGAATACATCACGCCAAGTCTGTCTCTGATGGTAAGTATATCTGATGTGATAGTCAGACCTGTACTGTTTCTGAAGAAGGGTTGTGAACACGGTTAGGACATCTGACTGCAGCTATCAAGTGCAGAGAAGGAAGTTGGAAAAAAGTAAGAACAAAAAGGATTTCAGTTGAGGACTGAAGAAAAGTGTTACAATAGAAAAGACAGGCAAGGAGAACTATTAATCCCTGAATTCAGTTCCCACCTAGAATAATGACTGTCATACCAAAGACTCCTAAGGATCCTATTTTAAATGCCTAATTTAATGTTCAAAGCTTTAGCATCTCTTAACAGGTGGAAATGTTAGGATGCCTCAGCCTTACTCCGCAATTAATAGCAATCCCTAAGACTGGACAAGAAGTGCCATACCATGCATCACATCAATCCACAGCAGCAGTGAGCAGTCAGAACATTTAATGCTGAGCAGAGTGATTCTGCAGAACAGAACACACCTCAACCTGACTGCATATTTTGAGACTACAAGCAAGTAAAGATAACTGCTTAGCAAGCACTGCACAATAAACAACACTTGCCCTAGGATGAATTTAAGTATTATACTATAGCAGACCAAAAGGCAAAGCATGGGTACCAACTGCACAGGTATCTAGTGGAGTATACATCAAATGGAGACGTTCCACTTTGTTTCACTGGCTTCAGCTCTACAGGATCTTACTGATGCTATTCAAAATTGTTAACAAAGATCTAGACTTGCACCTCTATTACCAAAACATCATTGTGTGTATTTGTTTCCTCCATCTGCTAAAGCAGTCTTCAAATCAAGAACAGCAGACTCCCCCCTCCAAGAGAGATGTTTCTCTCTAGTACGATCTGGCCTTTACAGCAAAGCTACTAAGTGAAACTGAAAGGCAGATCAGAGAACCTTTGATGATCAAATCAGGATTCTGTGTAACATGCGAAGTAGCTCTATCTAAAATGAAAATAAATAATACAATTGCCATTTTCCATTTATTTGAAAGCATACTCACCTGCAATGATTTCTCGTAGTTTGGGATCTAAGTTTACAGTACATGGTAAAAAGGTTCTTACATCACGTGCAATAAGAACAGGTGTTCGAGAAGATAAAAATACTTCAAAGTTCCGTATATCTCCATCAATTTCAAGTAGAGGTTCAACATCTTTAGTTGTAGGAATATTCTTTGAAATTCTGGGGGAGGGAATGAGGTAAATCATAAACCATGTTTATTAGCTTTTTAAAAGTAATTATCATCTTTTATCTTTATTTTTAGATCCTCCACAGAAAGTAGAATTTTATGTACCATGGGATTATTCCAGAGACAACAGAGGCAGATTTACACAGAATATTTAGCATTTAATGTTAAGAGAAATAAAAGAAATTAAGATCAATGCTAGATGCTTGAAGTAAGTGCAACTCTTTTACATTAAAAATCTTATTTTAACTCTGTGATAAACTTTCAATCTGACCTTTTAGGACAGTCTTGCCCTGTACTAAAAGTAGAATTAACAAATTCCTATAAATTATACCAGAAAACATCTGAATGGACCATGTACCTAACAGATGGATGATATGCCATACCATGCTGTCATAAGCAGTATCTATGAATAACTTTATTCACAGTGAGATGTTACTTCTACAGCACAGGAAAATGTAACAAATATAAAGCATAAAAGCAAGTGCAGCCTATTCTAACGAAGGTTCTGAGTCTGTAAATCATTATGAGCAGTTGTCTGGATGGCAGTGGGATTATCCACTTTAGGGAAGCTCAATGCATGTAAGGCTTCACAGCCACCAGCCTTAAGAGAATAAAAGGTTGTGCTTCTGTAAGAAGAGACACCCAGAAGTACATTACAGTTTCAAAGAACAGAAACAATTCTCCAACAGTGTTTAAAGAAGATTAATAGGAGTTAAAAGTGGTCCTCACCTCATGGAGTGAATGGTCAAAAGAAAAAAAATAATAAGAACACTGTCAGTATCAAAGTATAACTTGTACACTCAACAGAACCTGAGAAGTGTATATTTTACACTAATATTAAGCTACCACCTTAGGTTCTTCTATTTTGCCTTACATAAAACTATGAATAAACTGACTATAAATGTATATATTTTTATTCAAACATCAGAAATGTACCAAAATAACTAATGCACACTTTAGTTATACATATTCACCGTGAGTATTCTAGACGAGAGTTCAACATTGGCAAAATGAAAATTAAGTCACTTTTTAAGTCAGGGACTGAAGAGTTAAAGAGCGGCCTACTTTAACACTTAAATCTACAAAATAAAAAGCCAAAGGAGAATGTGACAGAGATTTAAATAAAACACACAGCTGATGAATCACATGAAACAAATTAGCTGAATTTTAATGCCAGCTCTACTTAAGTCTGAATGCGACCAGTGTTCTGAATACGATGAACAAAGCTACTGTTCAGAAGCCAATAGCCCACTGCTGGTGTGCAGATTGCAGTCTCTATTCTAACCGCCTGAGCTCAGTGTCTTCAACTACGCCTTTGAAAGAAATATTTATGTAAATGATAATCTTCTGGCAAAGAGCCACAAAAATTGCATATGCCTGTACTTCTCAGATAAAAAATAAAAGGTTAGCATGTAAAGCACTTCAGGAGCTACTTTTTCTAAAAGATAAGCACATAGATCTAAAAATACTGTGAACGCCCTATTTTCATTTTGGGGCTAGATTTTCCTGAGGCAGAAAAATTATTCTTTCAATCAGAAACATCAAAAACTGTCAGTGTTGCAGAGTGTCTGTTTCCACGAGAAACTACTTGAATTTAAAAGGAATGAGCCCAAAACAGAACATTACATTGACAGAAGAGAACCTTAAAAATTCATTCCACTATTCCTCACGTGTCCTTTCCATGTGTAGCTAAAATTAAAAATTGCTTTCAACGTGGACTAAGTTATATTCCAACAATGATGGATTATTTCTGTATTTTTCCTCAAATAAAAATAATTTACTACAAGTATGTATAGGTACATCATCTTATCTTCCATTCAAGAGACTATGAATTTGCTCCAGAGTTTATGTTCACCTTGCACTTCCACAACTGACTTGGAAAATAACCCCCACGGTCCAACACTGAGTGAATCCAGCAGTGAATGTTGCCAGCATAGCTTAGGTGCTGGGCTGCTGGCCTATGCGTGACACAGCCTACCTATTCACCACCTACTGCAGGAGATGGTCACCACCACAGGACATGGTCCTTCACCACCCAACCACGTGGTGGTAAAATGGCAGCAGTATCAACCACCTTCATCCACACTGAAGGCTGTGCCGTGCCCACATTCCCAATTTGGCTGGTTATGTCAGGCCCTGGAGTAGGTCAACAGGCTCTGTCACCTCTTCCCCTGGCTCAGGGTTTCGCTGCCTGTGCTCAAGGTCAGCTCTGATATAGTGGAGCTGAAGAACCTGGGATTGGACTGCTGTGGTAAGAGCTGCAAGAAGCCTCACTGGAGGCCTCTCTTGCTTGATTTGAGCACTGCCTTCAAACTTCACCCTTGCCTGAGCTACACCTATATACCTTACTGGTCATGACCTTGACTCATTGACTTGACTTCCTGGCTAAACCTAAAATATGCCTTCTGGCTACAGACTACTGGACTGTTACTGTCATGGAACCTGCTCTGATCTTCCTGTTAGGCTACTGTGGGACTGCACCTCTTGCTCATAAGGACAATGCCCTGCCTGTCCTGCTGTCCTCCTCAGCTCCCAGCTGGCCTTCTCTCATGGAGCAGCCTGCCCTGCTAAACCCGGACAGGGGGAAGGTTGACTTCTCTGCAAGTCCTCATGCCCAGAAGGACTATTCTTGCTCTTTCCAAACCTCTCTCCCTGAAGGTGACAACAAAAATTCTACGAGTTACTCTTTGCACACCTAAACATTCCCCCCCCATGTGTTTTACTGGAACGAGTAACTACATGGACAAGTAATTTAACTTTTGCACTTCATAAAAAGCAACAGACCTAATTAATTGTTATTAAATAATAAATAGAGCAACAGAAGGTATGAGCACGAAGGCACGTCATGTTTTATCTATCACATGCCTTTTAAATTTTTCTCCCAAACAGATTAAGACAAAAATGTTGCTTAAAATAATGAAATAATTTCTCATTAAAAATTACACAAAAAGTTTTTTCTAAAGGTTTGATACTGAGAAACAGAAAACTAGAAAATCAGGGCCACTTTGGAATATAATATGAAATTTTTATGCTTAACAGTCTGCTAATTAGACATCTGATCTCTAATACCTAACAATCAAATACTAGTAATATAATGCTTTGCTCTGAAGTTATTTATCCTATTCTTCTCATGCGTGGTCAGTATAGTGACAGTCTTTCTTCGTGCCTAAGGGTGCATTTTTTCTGGATTAAAAGCTCTCATACAAAATGCTCCAGAAAATTTGCAATACTACCAAGATATCTAGAATACTGCTGCAGATATTGTTTCAAACTGAAATTTGCAACAGGTTATTTGGACATTGGAAAACAGCATTTGCTCATATACACACTTGTATAAAGGCAGGAATAAAAAGTCGTCACACACTCAATCCTGAAACATAAGGGAATCAATGTTTTGTCTTAATAAAGACAAAAAAAGAGAAAGCTATAGCTTTCTTGATATATCTATCTAGACAAAAATTATAAACCCCTCAGTGCATATTAAGCAGTACAGAGACATCACTGAACAGATGCAATAGGTATTTAAAATAAACTCTTATTATTGTAGGTATACAGGAGAGCTTGCTTTGCCAAACTGACTCTATCCAATTCAAGTAACAGTAGATAAAGCACCTCTTCTGAGTGTTCCTGCTTTTGATAATTTCAGAAAGAAAAAACATTTTGATCCTTAAAAGATTGGCATTTATTAAATTAATGTCCCACACCTAGTATCATGCACTGTCACTGAGCCATACTGAAAAGGTCTATTTTTAATACAACTTTTCAGAATATACCCTACACTGGCATTCTTTATCATTAAAAAAAAGTGTTAATACAGTTACAAATCCCTGGATTCATTCAGTTTTGCAGTGCTATTTGAATTACAGAAGGCAAAAGAATTTTCAAAAAATTCTAAATATTTATTACACAGATTGAAAAATCAGCAAAATAGAGTAGCACAGTAGCACTGAAGAATCTAAGACTGCTCAAAGCAGCTCTGTAAATAAAAAGTAATTATGTTTCACTAACTGACATATCCAACAAGATCACTCACACAAGTGAAATACAAGAATACTGTATTAATCTGGTTTTGGTATTTTCATTACTGAACGTCAGCTACAAAGCTACTTCATGGCTTTATGCAGGGATTCTTTTATTCAATACCTCCACCTGCAGGACTTCAGAAATTCAGCAAATATTTGCAGGTCCTCTATCATTAGAAATGGCCATGGTTCATCCTAGTCTCCAGCACACGATTCTTTTCTGGGACTAGGTTACAGCATACAGTTAAATCTCAGCACCAGGCAAAAGGACACTCCTCCTCCAAAAGTCCATGGCAAAGTCCTCTGAGTTCCACTTCTCAGAGTAAGTCAAAGACTAATCCATCAATCTGTTGCAAATGCTACCCAGAAATGGAAGGCAAAGAGGTACAATTGCTGTATTACATTAATAGGCTAATAACCAAAGACATATTACTTTCTTTGGAGTGCATTTGGATTACATGATCTGTTTCTTATCTGGTCCTTCTCAAGCAGCTTCTTATGACAGAGTTGATCTAACGACACAAATTTAGTGTACGGGCATATGAGCAAGTTGTTGTAAGGAAAACTGCAGCATCAGCTTCCAAAGAACTTGACGTCCCATGCAACCGCTCAGTGGTAGGATTTTACAGCAATATAAGACACAAGTATTTTCTGAATGTAAATCAAGTATTTTAACTCCTCTTTTCTCTTGAGAGATGGCCAACATCACATTTACTGTGGGGTAAGAGCCAGGATATGGGTCACTAGCAGTATGTAGCTGGAGAGGCATTTCCAGCTTATCATCTTATCTCACAATGTCTTTCCATGCTCTCAGGTTTTGAATAAATTACTTTTGACAAAAACATTCACCAGACACAAAAAAACATAACTTCCAATTTTGTTTCCCAACTTTATCAATTCCCCAAAAAGTACAGAAGTCTCAAGAATTGACTTACACAGGTGAGAAATTAAAGTTTTCTTTCCTGAATTTTTTATAGTGTTGCTAAAATTAAGGCTT